AAAGGGGGGGGGGGAGGTGTCTCAAAATTATCCCTGCATTTAAGTAAGCTAACCTGTAAGTCATCTCTGTAGTATCAAACCCAAAGCTTCCAATTTCTAGAGGACAACGTTGGGAGTCGAGGGGGAATTTTCTTAGGTCCATGTTACATCTAGAGGATTCATATTTAGGATAGATAGACAGGTAGACAGGTAGACAGTTAAAGAAGTAGACAGGTAAATAGGTAGAAAAGTAGACAGGTAGACATGTAGACAGGTACAGGTAGACAGGTAGACAGGTACAGGTAGACAGGTAGACATGTAGACAGGTAGACATGTAGACAGGTAGACAGATAGACAGGTAGACAGGTAGTTAGGTAGACAGCTTGACAGGTAGACAGGTAGTTAGGTTGACATGTAGATAGGCAGACAGGTAGACAGGTACACAGATACACAGGTAGACAGGAAGACAGGTAAACAGGTAGACAGATAGACAGGTAGACACGTAGACAGGTAAACAGATAGAAAGCTAGACAAGTAGACAATAAAACACGTAGACAGGTAAACAGGTAAACAGGTAGACAGGTGAACAGGTAGACAGTTAAACACGTAGACAGGTAAAGAGGTAGACTAGTAGACAGGTAGACTAGTATATAGGTACAAAAGTAGGCAATTAGACAAAAAGACAGGTAGAAAAATGGACAGGTTGACAGGTAGACAGGTATACAAGTAGTCAGGTAGACAAGTAGACAAGTTAAAAGGTGTTGACAATTTTTTAAATTTCAAGGGAAACGCCGTGCACCAAAGTTAGCAGCTATAGAAGGTGACATCTACGTAAACAAGTTTAACATGTTTAATATCTAAAGTTTACTGTAAAGTTTCTATACCTGGCTGTGACGGTTAATCTCTGTGAGTAGGATATCCGTCCTGTTGGACCTATACGGATAAACCTGGGGTAAACATACTTAAAACATGACCAATGGTGGCGTAATGAATTGAGGCATGAATGTCGTCTTTGGTTTGTCGATTGAACAACAATGTGGCGAAATATTTTGTAATAAGCAACGGCTTGATGACTGACATATCTATAAAATATTTAGGTCACAATCTGAATTGACTTTGTAATATACTCTTCAATACAATTACTTTTTATTAACAATTAAACAAAAAATTTTCGATTTTGACAAATTGATATTTTACCAAGGGGATTAGAAGTATCCAAAGACATGTTAAAATAAATGTTATATGAACTTTAGGTGTAATTCAAAACGACCCTCTCGTTAATTCAAAACAGCATGATTAAAAGCTTTTATATGTGTGAATATGATATCGTCATTTTTCTTTTGGGAATACATTTAAATTCTGTAAAATCCTTAAGTCAGTTATTAATTTACCACGATTAAAATTGTTATATTTTTATATAAAATAAGGATATTTACTCAGAGAACAGGAAGGTTTAAATTATAAAGGATACCTTAGTAAATCGGAAACTATTTGAAAAGAGGGTCACTTGATATTACGTGAACAGTTCCTTTAAAGTATAAGTATCTATGTTCCTATTAGGTACAGCTATCTTGTGTAGGTAGGAATCCTTCCCATTTAGGAAGTATGTATCCGGTCTCCAGATTCTTTAAATAACAGGCAATCATGATTTTAATAATTTTCTTTATTTTAAAATACCCTTAGTACATATTTCGTTGGAAACATAATATCTAGGTATCCAAAAAAATATTTTAATTTTCTATTTTTCATTTAGATTTTTTAATAATGATATTTTCGTCATCTCTAATTGAATTTCAATTGTTTTTCAAAAGATTTTGTAAACATTTCAGGTTTAAAATTATCAGATAGGTTAACAAAATTCATTATTTTTACTCAGACAAAAATGTAAAAAATTCAAAAACTATATTATTTTCTTTCACAGTTCTGTTTCTAAATATTTTAAAAATACCTAAATCTCACAAGGCATTGCAATTCCTAAAGTTATCCAAAAAAAGGTTATTTTTCTTACATAAAAAAAAACAATTTTAGAAAAGGAAATGTCTTTAAAATTAAAAATGAAATCCACTATTTCACTCCACTTAAGAATGAGAAGTGTAACTTATGATTAGTGTAACCTATGACAAATGCGAATTGAAATTTATAATAAATGTCATTGACCCCTTTGCGGGGAAGGAAAAAAATAGTTCTCTCACAACTTATTCCAGGGTGATTAGATTCATTGGTAAGATTTATATGGTTAGCTGTAGTTCCTAGATAGGAATTGCCAATTCATTGCCAACTCTTTCAGGTTGGTCGTGTTGTACCTTAACCTAGAGTCAGTCCAGTACTGCCTAAATATAAGGATTATACTGAGGCAGTCTAGATCTGTAGGGTGTTGGGTGTAGGGTGTAGGGTGTAGGGTGTAGAGTATAGGGTGTAGGGTGTAGAGTGTAGAGTGTAGAGTGTAGAGNGTGTAGGGTGTAGGGTGTAGGGTGTAGGGTGTAGGGTGTAGGGTGTAGGGTGTAGGGTGTAGGGTGTAGGGTGTAGGGTGTAGGGTGTAGGGTGTAGGGTGTAGGGTGTAGGGTGTAGGGTGTAGGGTGTAGGGTGTAGGGTGTAGGGTGTAGGGTGAACCTAAAATAACAGTCGAGAGTAAAACTTTGTTTTGTTTCATCCACAGGACCCATTGATCGTATTGCAATATTTACTTCCACATCAGTTGCAGCTTTTCCAACATCAGGTCTATACAACAAATAAAGAAACTTTAAAAGGATTGACTCTGCAAATTTAGATCAACTTAGATTTTGTAATTGTTTTAAAAAAGTATCATTAATCTTTAATATTGCAAACTGTGACACAATGTCTTATTTTTCTTAAATGTATATTTTCTAAATCTGTTTCTAAGAATTTCTAGTTTATTTCATGTTTTCCTAAATCTTTTATCGTATGCAGCTTCTGCGAACAAGCTGTCCAGGGTTTCAGAAACCTTTAATATACAAAAATATCCTCCTGCAGTCAAACCAAACATAAAATTCAGAATTTCAGGGTGACCCACAAAACATGAGGCTTTAATGACGACTTTTAAATGTAATATAAGATTCAATGAATACGATCTGAAGGTTGAATTCTTCTTTTACCATCCTTTATTGGTAAACTAAATTATTACTTTACGTCTGCAGGGAAATATTAATGTTTATTACTGTTAAACGATTGAATAAACTTCGTAAATTTGTCTGTCTAGTCTCATTATTTGTGGATAATACTGTAACATGTGTAAAACTCATTAAAATTGTAAGGTTTGACTACAGTACGTGAACATTTTTATAGCAATAAATAATAATAATAATAATAAATAAGTAGATTTATTGTGGTTTACTTTGGTTTTTTAATCTAAACTCATTCTTTTGGCTTTGTCTTCTAATTTATTGAATCTCAATTTAGAGAATAAAAAATTTTGGATTAAATTATATTTCCTTGGAGGCCATCTCCAACCTCTCCCAGGGGGTAGACACGGAGGCCATCCTCCTCCTTCGATCCAACCAGCCTCCCTAAACAAAATTAGGTCGGATTTCATGAATAGTGTGAAGTAGTTAACTGCGTATGGCTAGTTGAATTACTTTTTTGTACACTCTCTCCAAAGCTTTAGAAGTCAGTTTTTCCCTTTAAACTAAAATACAAATGACTGAAAAATGTACTCTTTACATACAGCAAAAACAAATCTAAAGGAAAATTTTCTATCAGAAAGATATTTAAAAGACGGCTGGCCTGAAATTATAGATACATGGTTTGCATTTTATAGATATTTGAGATGTCCGTTCATGCATTCCTACAGCCTAAGAAAGCAGAGCTCTGCCCAGAAAGCTCTCTGTACTATTTGCAGTGGAGAAAAAATATGAACATTTGAAATTATCAACTATGCCTCGTACCATTTTATTTTATAAAAATTAAAAAAAAATTATAAAAATGCTTTATCTATTTTAAATAAAGTGTACAAGTAGCTTAGTCATGTATTTATTTAGGAAATATTATAAAAAAGTGATTGAGAACTTAGTAGTACATATTTGAGAAAAAAACCTACAAAATAGAAGTGGGAATATTTCCTCCTCCAATTTTATAAAAATTTGACAAAATAGGCAATTTACAGAGGAAAGGAAGAATAGAATAATGTGACTTTTTAAAGTGTATAATATGTCGTTGATAAACTTACATTTGATACATCGACATCTGAAAGATCAACTTGAATATTAGGGTTGGGTAGGATGAGTTCAGATCTCCGGGTTGGATAAGGATTGCTCTGCTCCAGGTCCCTGTTCTCCTCCTCCTCTGCTGTATCACAGAAATCACTGAACCCGTTACAGCTGAACCCAACCCGACCTAAATTATTAAATTACAGCTGAACCCAACCCGACTTAGATTATCTAGTTACAGCTGAACCCAACCTGACCTAGATTAAATAGTTACAACTGAACCTAACCCGACCTAAATTATTTAATTACAGCTGAACCCAACCTGACCAAGATTAAATAGTTACAGCTGAACCCAACCTGACCTAGATTATCTAGTTACAGCTGAACCCAAACCTGACCTAGACTTGGATTAATGTCAATAATGAATGATCATTTTGTCGACATCAAATATTAATTACATGATAAATATTGATATGGTTGATATGGTTGTTAAGAAATTGTAATTAGATGATAATTAACTAAATGTCTAGTTGGAAATCAGATAATAATATAATATACAATTCTTTTCTTGACAACAAAAAGTAATTATCTAGATGATTATTAATTGTTGTAGATAACAAATAATAATTATATCATACTATTCCCGGATAGAATCTTAGAGTCTGAAACCTAGTCTTAGACGCCGGGCCGACCTCCTCAGACCCTCTGTTTTTGGAAAAAAATATCAAATTTCACCAAATATATGTAATATGAGCAAAAGCCATTAAAATATTTGAGCATTCCTCTCCCCATCCCTTTCTTCAAGCACCCCTCCATATGTCCCAACCCCAGTTTCTGCTGTT